CTGGCCTAACTTGTGGCTGATAAGTGTTCAAACAGTCAGATCCCAATCTGTGCTTGTGGCATTTAGGTACCATGCCACAAGGGGGGGGAGACACAACCAAAGTGGGACTTCCCAAATAAAACAGTGGCTGCATCATAATCCTACTTCTGTTATAACAGCGAGATCTTTCACTCCATCCCAGTCCGATTCATAGATGTCGCTCAGCGTCTGGGATAGCCGCTTAGATGTCTCATGCATGCCTGTAAAAAGGAAGAAAAAAAAGGAAATCTTAAAATGTAGTCATGACTCCATGGGAATAAGCCCATCTACCTTCTGGCAGCACAAACAGCACCACGGTGGTATTGTTTTTAATGTTTCTGGTGCTGCTGCTGCACCCACATTACAAAGGCCAAAACAACACTAGTTTCCTGACTGGAGCTCACAATGCAGGCGCAAAAGCTGACAACATGAAAAACAACGGTTTCTCATACATGACTCACATATGCTGCGTCTGCTATTTTTTTTTAAGGCGGGATCAGGGATCTTTACAACTTGGTAGCACAGACAGGATTGCAAAAGTCTCCCACAAAAAAAAATAGAAGACTTTCACTTCCCTAGTTTTCAACTTCTCCATCAGTAAGACTGGGGATTCAATCCATGCTTTGCAAACCCACCTTTCACTGCTGCATAGTAGGCTTTGACATCTTTAAACAACCTGCTTCCGTCGATCTGCGTGCAGGAAGAAAGGAGAAAAGTTCAATTCAGTGACGCCCAGTAACAGTTGGACAATATAAGAAAATTGTGCTGCATCATTTCCTTGACATCAGTGTGCTTCAGCTGGACTGCAGGCTGTTAGTTTGCTGTGAAACTCTCTCTGCATCAGTTTGCTTGACATCACAGCTCCTTGCAATCTCACCACAACTTGGAGCTTAAATTAAATAACAATCACAATATCTTATGTGGCTTTTGTGAAGTGAAAGCAGCATGGAGTGTCAGTGGGTAGACTTCCTTCCTGTTGCTCTTCGGCAACTTCCCTGCAGTATGTAGTGTAGTTGTTTGCCACTCGGTGAACTTAAAACCTGAGCAACAGAATCCCAACAGTGGCAGCGATTACAGTATTAATACAGTATTAATGGAATACAGATCACCAGTACGCAACAATAAATGAAGGCATTTTGTTACTTTTAAAATGAAAGCACTTTTGCTTCCTCTTTTCTAAATTTTAAGTAGTCTACATTTAGAGCTGTTCAGAAAGGCCAGTCTGAGGCTTTCAGTTCGTCAGCCTGTAAAAACCTTTCTTAAATGACAGCTCTTTCACAATTTAGGGTAATGCTGCACACAGATCTCTAGGGGAGACATAGTAAGTCGTATTTACACAGAACAGATAAGAAAATAGGCAGGAGCTCCGTCTTGCATTTCCTGTTTTCAAGGCCAGGATGATTGCCTGAACTTGTGAGTTGGCACGTCAGTGCAGGGAAAAAAAGACACAAAACACTTTTTGGCCCTGTTGCAATTATGTGAAGAATTTTGGTAAAGGGAAACAAATGAGCTTCGAGATTAAAGATGTTAAAGGGGTTTTATCAAGGTTGTAGAGCAGAAAGCAGAAGACTACCATTTAGAAACTGTGGTTACGCTGTTGAGTACCTGCTGTTTGTTGAGGTTCTGGAAACAGAGCTCAAACTGCTCATCTTTGGTTTCCATAGTTTTGCCCAGTTTCTGAAGAACCTGAAAGCATAAAAAAAGAAATCAGATTGAGTAAATTTTAACAATATGCCACGAGAGGTTTCTACAGATTGTGCTCATACAGATTAAAGTTAAACTATATCAAAGCCTGCCTACAGGTGTTGTAGAGTACATGCAAGTGCAACTAAATAATATCACCAAAAGTTGGAATTTGAAGAAAGCAAATAGAAAAATTAGGAACTGCAAGTAGTAAGTTCACCAGACCTCACCTAATTTTACCAATATTTAGCAGGTATAACACACCTGAATCTCCCACAGAACTGTTGAGTTACTTTATGGGTGATTGTTTGTGTTGTGTAGTTCAGCTCCACCATTTGTAACGCCTTTTTTTTTTTTTTAACACTATATAAATGCAATAACATTAAACCTAATTCATTGAGTTTTCCTTCACATGATGTTTTTGCAGATACTGTATATTAGGTCCACAATGATGTCCAACACGTAGTAAAAAAAACATTTCAGCTTGGTCCTCTAGTTATTTAGTAGCTCTGCTTCAAGGGCGCCCACAACAGGAGAGCACCGACATTCCCTCACATTCAAATGGTCTGTTTAGTGCATAGACTGTAAACAAAAAACGGCTCCCATCACATCACCAGTGGTTTACAGACTTTCATTCTGAAAGTTCAAGATTGGCATTTTGGCTGCCGCCAACTTGATGTTTTGAAACGAGACAAGATGAGCTAAGAAACCAAAGGATCCTGAATGCTCATACTGCAGCACCTTGCTAATCACATGGTAGGCCCACCCTAAATCACACCCTGCATTGTCATCTGTTCTGAACCTAAGAAAGACCGTAATTTACAAGATTAACATCATGCTTTTTTCACTAAGACTTGAAACCAGAATCTGTGTCCAGACGTTTACTGAGGTCACAGACATGTAGGACATGTTCAACATGTCTGATCTGCAACCAGCCATGTTGCCCCCTGACAGCCATTAGAAAGTTTACACCACTTTGTCACCACCTTTAAAATACAATCTATAACCAAATTACATATTTTTAAAAAACTATATATTAAACTCTGCCTCCAGCATCTGGCTGCTGAATCACTGAATGATGAATTTTTGAGGCTCAAATTGAAAAAAAAACTTTAAAATAGGTTTTGCAAACACAGAAAATACAGATGATGTTGATTCTTTAAAGGTTTGTGACCACGGCATGCAGTGATACACACACTTTCAACATAACAAAATAAACCTGTGTCATGTAAAGTGGATCTGACAGTGTGGATATACTGACCTAACCAGACTAACACTCTACATAGAGCACCATTTACACCCGTCCCAAAACTTAACCAGACACATGTGGCTAACTTTTTCTGAGCCCTTCACCGCCCAACGAGTGCAGCTGTTTGAAACCTTTGACTTGAAATCTGCATATAAAAGCTCTCATCATCATGCCCATTCTTTAATTTACCACCACAGAAATCACAGAGTCGCCCCAAAACAGCCCTTTAGTCTTCACTGTACCGAAAAAGCAAGCCTTTGTAGCTGCTGCTTTTAGGTGGAGTGGTGAATTCAAGTTTGTTGACCACAAACCGAGAAAGACACAGCTAGTGAGAGGAAGTGCACAGTCAGGAAGTAGCAGCATTTCTGTGTCCGCACACAGCTGCATAGCAGTGAACAACAGCATGTTGCTCAGACGGGGGAAATCTAAGCTACCGTTTTATTAGTGGTTAAAAAAGGGGCCAGTTTAGTGAGGTTAACGGTGAACCCACACGCATGAACTGGAGTAAGTGGCTCAGTCTGGTACAGCACAGTGTGCAGACTGCTTTGAATGCTGTCTTGTGGTCAGGATCACAGTGCGTAAACGCGTCCAGATTGATTGATGCCCTTACAAACCATCCAACGAAACACAGCCGAAAAGACGGCAGTGATGAAGTCGAGCAGTTCTCTCTCTCTCTCTCACACACACACACACACACACACACACAGATTACAAAAGTGAAATCAGTGGGGGATTTTTTTTAACCAATCACCCTGCTTAGAAGCGAAACACGATTTCAGAAGCCTGTCATCGTGGGAACATGATGCCAAGGTCTCTCTCCCTCTCTCATACTGGCTTTTCCAGCCCTCAACACCGAACAGCTTAATAAAACAAGCTCAATGTGTCCGTCTCATAGTTTAACAGAGCCGTGGCAGTGACTTTCGGGCACTGTCAAGAAGTTGCGTGGGCTCAGTGAAACTTTTTAAAAAAGTGGATCTCCTCTGGCTCACCTTCTCCTGGGCTCGGTTCAAGGACTTCTGGACCCGTTTCGCGAAGATTCCGGCTCCAGCCTGGAGGTTCGGGCCCATCTTATTCTCCGCCATCGTCAGCTGTCGCGCTGTCTCTCTCTCCTCCCTGACTGCTATGCGCTTCCTCCGTGCGATTCAACTGCGACTTCAGCTGTTGTAGGCGGAGGTGGAGCAACACAATGTCAAAACGCGCGCGCGCAGCCAGAGATCAGTCAGCTCGTCCTGTTGCGACTTGTCAAAGAAATTAGGCCATTTGGAAACGTTCCTGCGTGTTTTCATCTGCTGAAAACACGTCACGTAAGAGTTGAGAAATCCACTCCTGCACCTGCGGCCAGGTAAACTCTTCCAGCGAAAACTCACCTGAAAATTATGTGCGTAAATTACGCTTCTGTGGTGCAGCGCAGCTGATTCAGCGACGTGACGTAGGCGGGCAGGGTGAGGGTTAGCGGCAGCAGATGATGCTGCCAATTATTTTTATTTTTTCAAAGAGAATTACACAAGACCTCACGTATCAGCCTTTCATATTATATATGTCTGACCGGAGATTTCTTTACGGTCGAATATTGTTATTCATATATAAAGGAATAATCGGATCTGTACGCTTACTGGCCACTTCATTAGGTACTTTTTATAATGTTCAAATAATTATAAAAAGCTAATGGTGGTTCGATTCCATCGGAGTATGAATGTGTGTGAATGTTAGTAAGCACTAGAAGCATAGAAGACAGTGCTTGTGTGAATGGGTGAATGTGGCATGTTGTCTAAACTGCTTTGATACTCCGGGAGAGTAGAAAAACGCTATATAAGAAACAGTCCATTACCATTAGCTGTTCAATCACATGTTCAGTCACTTGAATAGCCTTTCTTGCCCATCAAGAATGGGCGAGAAAGGCTATTTAAGTGACTTTGAATATGGCGTGGTTGTTGGTGACCAGACGGGCTGGTTTGAGTATTTCAGAAACTGCTGACCTACTCGGATTTTCCAACACCACCATCTCCAGGGTTTGAAGAAGATATTTAGTGAGCAGCAGTCATCTGGGCAAAATGCTCAGAAAGCTGCTGTTGATGTCACAGGAGAATGACTAGACAGTTTGGAGCTGATAGGAAGACAACAGTGACTCATACAACCGCTCGTTACAACCAAGGTATGCAGAAGAGCATCTCTGGTCAAACCTTGAAGCAGATGGTCTACAGCAGCAGAAGACTACACCGCGTGCCACTCCTGTCAGCTAAGAAGTCCATACAGGCTCACTGAAACTGGATAATAGATGGAAATACACTGGCTTGTCTGATGAGTCTCAGTGTTTGCTCTAACATTCTGAACTTGGTAGGGTCAGAATTTGGTGTAAGCAACATAAATGCATGACTTCACCTGCTTTCTATCAACAGTTCAGTACACTGGTGATCTAATGGTGTGGAGGACGTTTTCTTGGCACACTTTGGGTTCTTTAGTACCAACTAAACATCATTTAAATGCCACAGCCCAGCTGAGTATTGTTGCTGGCCACTTCTGTCCCTTTATGATCACAGTGTACCCATCTTCTGACATGGTACAAAGCTCAGATCATCTGACACTGGTTTCTTATACATAACAATGAATTTGCTGTACTCAAATGCCTCCACTGTCACCAGATTTTAATCCAAAACTGCACCCCTGCGATGTGGGGAAATAAGAGCGTTGCATCATGGATGTGCAGCAACTGTGTGATGCTATGAGATCATTATGGCTCAAAATCTCTGGGGAGTGTTTCCAGCACTTTGTTGAATCTATTAAATGGCTGTGTGTAGTTTGAAAGAGCCATCTGTGATCTTTAAACCACAACAATCTAGCCACATACATAAAATGTGATTAGGTGGAACTGCAATGTCTATCTTGGCCACTGTATTCAAGATGATGAGTCAACATGGCGGCTTACACAAACTGGCGCCTGCTCCTATGTATTTTTAAGATGTAATTACACCCTAATCAGTGTGTCAACATTGTACAACATAATCAATGTACAATGTTTTTAAATAACCTAATAAAATTATTTATTGCTTCCTTATGAGCACAGCAGTTACTTAAAAGTTATTTAAAACAACAAGATTATATCCATTTAAAAGAAGGCGTCACTAACAGCAGCTAACAGCAGCTAACAGCAGCGCTCCCCAGCAGCAAGCTTCACGGACCATCTCCAGTCAGACTCTTTCACAAAGTTTTACAGCCTCCTCCAGAGTAAACAAACACGGACACATATTGACACATGACGTGAGCTTCCTGACAGCCTACACTCGCTACAGATGAATGGCTGCCAGAGCTTTTTGTTCTACAGTGGCTACTGTAGCTAGGACTAAGGTATACTTGCCATATTGGTTGCTTTGCTCAACACCCACGCAGGGGGCACACAGCTAGCATAAAAACATCATTGCATGCTTGAATTGGGAAGTGGTAAAACAGAATTCAGCTGCAATCTGCTGACATCTAGTGGTGATATTTTAGACATTGTAACTTTAAATCTTTTTAAAATGACAATACTTTGAATATTTTCCATAATTACATGTTTCATCCAGCTGGTGTTTTCACATTTCTACTTAAATGCGAATAAGTTGTTCTGTTTTCACAAACTTCTTTGTTATTAGCTTACATACAATGCAGTAAAAAAATATTCACCTCCTTCCTTTTTTGCATATTAGTCACACTTACATGCTCCAGATTATCAAATACATTTTAAGATTAGACAAAGATAACCCAAGTTAAAATACAGTTCTTAAATGATTTTATTTATTAAGGGGGAAAAGTTATCCAAACTTACCTGATCCTATGGGAAAAAGAAATTCCTCCTAAACCTAATGACGGTCTTGAAGTCCAGTCAAGTTTTTGCATTAACTGGCAATTAGTTGTCCACAATGCTGTTTTTTGCAGAACTGGTTTCAGCCACATTTGAGATTTTGCAAGCATGAACGGTCTGTTTAAGTTTATGGCAAAGCATCTCAGTCAGATTTATATTTAACTGCTTATTATTTTGCACCTTTTAAAAATATAAATCCTCTATATCTACATTATAACATAGTACATAAGTAATCAATAAACCCAATCCAGTACTATGTATTTTTATTCCAGCAAAGAACATCAATGCCTGTTTAAACACTTTGCACGACAGTTATTCCAGGCAATCAACTCTCCCTATTTAAAAAAAAAAAAAGGATTCCTGGAAACTGCTCTGACTTCCTAACACGTTTGCTGATAGGAAGCTATTGACACATCTCCTTCTTGACACTATGACTAATATGTTATGATACATCCTACAGCATAATAACAGAACAAGGTCAGACAATCACGGCTGATTGTTAAATTCAGCTAATATTCACAGAAGGCTGTTTAATTAGACCTTTAGGGAACTTTAAAGCTATTTGGGAACTATTGTTAACCCTGCTCTCCTCATTTATTTCTTATTCTGTTTGTGATGAAGATTATGAAGAAAGTACAAATTCTGGGAAACTCTGTGAACACATGAAGTGTGGACAGTAGATCAAGTTTTACTGGCTCCATATTTTGCTATCTTGATGGGGGTGGTGATAGGCTCATTTTAGTTACTTTGTATAATATTTTAGCTTCATCTAGCTGTAACTTAACATATCTAATTATTTATTAATATATGAATATCTCACATGTACAAAAATAAATGTAATAGTGTATGAATAAATGTCACCAAAACTTGTTATACATTCGTCCTACTATCCAGTATCTGGATGTTACATGTTAATGGTTTATTGCCATGCTTTAACAAAGGTGTGGTCGTACTGGGGAAATACAGTCGTAACCACATACCAGTGCAGCAACTTATAGGTGTGTGTGTGTACTTGTATTACTCATTCATTTTGTTGGGACAGACCTCAGTGAAAAACATGTATCAATCATGTAAAGTTAGTTTTAGGCTAAGATGAGGACAAGTAGCTATAGTGTGCATTAGAGTGAGGAGGTGATTTATTTCACTGCTAAGTGATTAAAAGTTCCTTCTAACTTCATGTGGACAGAAGGTTTGTTTAGAGTTATTGTAGGGTAGATGTTTCTGCCTTTTGGGGACATTTTGGCAGGCCCTGGAGAAAAGAAAAACCATCTGTTGTTGGGTTAGTGACTCACAGGTAAACACCATAAGCCTTAAAATATTTCTTAAAAATCCATCACTTGATCCAACTATCCCAGCTATAGGCCAATCTCCAAACTTCCTTTAATCTCAAAAATTCTTGAAAGAGTAGTTGTAAAACTACTGTGGACTATTAGGGCCAAATTAAGAGAAATAAATATATTATTGATCATTTTGAGAAAAATGTGGAGATTATACTTATTTCAAAGCAAACTGGTGCGGTTGCTGTACCCTCTAAAAATGCCTTCTATAGATGAATTAGTAAGATTGTATTTCAGAATAGTTTTAGCTACAAGGAAATGATTTCTCTTTTAGCACATAAACATACGGTAGTGTTGTAATCAGTATGGGGACTGGAAAGATGCTCCAGAAAGCTGCATCGGATCAGATGTGGAAGAGCTGATTTGTACAAAATGAAAGGTCTGACAGTGGAGAGATGCAAGGATATCGATGGTTACACCCTCATACACTAAAGAGGATGTATGCTGTGTCACAAGACAACTGATCAATTTGTTTCAGTAACTCATCTACACAAACCATTCTGTAGATTGTATAGCAGACAGTTTTGGCTTGAAGCAACTGTAACCTCCACACTTTTTTGACTTTTTTCTCAAAATGATCAATAATATGTATATTTTTTCTTAATGTAGCCCTAATTTGTATAAAACCGCTAACTGATCATCTGCAGATGAATGGTTTATTTAAAAAGTTTCAGTTCTTCACAGCACAGAAACAGCATTGGTGAAGGTTATAAGTGATCTTCTTATGGCCTCTGACAGTGGACTCATCTATGTGCTTCTCTTTTTAGACCTCAGTGCAGCTTTCCACATTATTGAGGCGCTGCACTGTAGTGGTTTGACTCATATCGATCGAAAAAATTCTGATTTGTTCATGTAAATGAAGAGTTTTCTTCACACAGAAAAATTATCCTGCGCTAGGTCCAATTCTGTTTACATAATACATGCCTCCCTTAGACCACAGGTGTCAAACTCCAGTCCCCGAGGGCCGGTGTCCTGAAGCTTTTC